CAACTGAAAATATTAGATGTGTCCCGAGCGCTCATATGACCTTATGCAGTTGCGAGCGCCGTAAAACACTTTACAAAAACAACAAGACGTACTGACTACAAGTTCTCATCGTATTCTTGGGTAGATAGCAAGTCTATCCTGACAACTAAAATGTGTATGTACGTCGGTGGAATGCATGTTGGTCTCTTCCCCTTCCCAGCTTCCCTTTTGCTTCCTCTGAGAAATAAGTCAGTAACATTCATGACAACGGACTGGACTTGTTCCCTCTTCCAACAGGTGAGCAGTTCTTTGCCTTGCAGTGTCCACTACCGAAACAACCCTATCTTGGATTGTTGGCAGAATATTGATGAGGTAGTCGTGGCTCTTTATGACAGTGGTGTCCTCAAACAGTCCTTGACCTTTGACGCCGCCGGCACAGACTACCTGTCCTGGTTCAGCCCTAAAAAACTCAAGGACGCCGGCAACTGGAAGGACCTGAAGGGACTAAGTACCAACTACTTCAGTATTCCTGGCTACGTCAGGGTGAAGCGGAACTTCTACATTAACCACAAGTTCGGGGGCTGTGGGGGCGATATTGGGTGGCTGTTAGTCGTTGATCAGGCTAATGCTAAATGCGGCTATGAAAAGTTTAAAACATTCCCACAGTTCTTATACAACAGTCGCGACACACGTATGAATTTTAAAAGTAAGTTCAGGGCTCTGGCTGACGTCATGGCTGTTTTTGTTAAGTATCGTTCATCTCCCCGTGCTTATTAAAGAGGGACCCAGCTTAAAGTTTCCAGTTCATAATACGAAAAAAAGGACGACAAAATATCTAGAATGAATGAAGTTAAAGCTACAAGATTTTTTTAAGGGAACTTGCAGTTTTCTCTTTCTTTGGAATAAAGTTAGCATATTCCGTGCTAGCATTCTATTACATTTTAAAGTAGATATTTGTGTGAGCAATTTATTTGTTTTCGGTTCACTGAAAACTTTCCCAGACGTCAAATAAGCTTTGATGCTCAACCTTCTTGGAAAAGGTTGAAAGGAGCCCTTTTTTGTCTTTGTTATTCGAATAAAAATGTAACTTGAATCAGTGGAAACCTGTGTCCAATTTTGAGTTTGTTCAGTAATTATTTTTTTTAACGGAAAATGAAAGACTGAACAAATCAGTCTGCATTGTCTTTTCCATTACCCAACCTAAAAGACAATGATAAAGGGCTTTATATTATGTTTAGTTTATATTTTCAAATATCATATTATGTGTTTTTAATAGGACCATTAAAATGTTGAGCCTAAAAACCAAACTCGATAAAAAAAATAGTTGACAATTCGGCGGGAAAATACCGGTTTCTTCGATTTCATCATTTTTTTACGAGCCCTTGATTCCACCGCGATGCCTCACATAATAATATGTTAATTATAGATGTTTCACACCACCATCGACGCTATTTAGAACTGCTTCCATATCGCCTTATAAGAGCCAGTTCCACGTATCAAGGTTTGAGCGAATTTTGCAGGAGGAACAAACAACTGAAATCTATGACACGCTATTTAGGATTTCTTGGCTTTACTGTCAGTTCCGTGGTAATTCTTGTTGCGTCATCCAAGTTGTAACAGTATTGAAATCCATTCCGCAAACCTCAAGATGAGCTGATTTGGAAACAAACAGCTATGAAAAGTGAAACACTTATTAATTGCTTTTTATAGCCATTTCAAGGCGGGGAAGTCAATGAAACTTATACAGAAATGAAGCCTATGATACGCGCTTTCGATTGTTGAAAGAAAAACATCTCGCGCCATAATCATGATAAGCGGATCTGGCTCTTATAGGACGATATTTTCCTCAGTTCGCACCGTTTTGTTAATGAATAGGCCTACTTAACTCCCTTCACTTCATGGGTTACTGACAGAAAGACACCCTCTCTCCTTTAACTCTGTTCACACCACCTCTGAGCTACTCTTTCAGAAGGTGCACATACTAGATCTAGATCTGGAATCATATCCTACTTCCCACAATAACAGGTTAGAGGCTTCTCTGTGGACTTGAATTCAGAGAATTTTCTAACACAAAAGACCTTTTTTGGGTAGCTCCAAGACATGGCTGATGCAACGGTACTTGTTTGACCAGTTCCAATTTGAGCATAGATTATGACGCCCGGATGATCAAATATAATTCATCACAAATTTGGTGCAGATCTGCATAAAAATGGAGAAGTTATTAATTGTTTCCAGGAGTCTAGGACAGCTGTTGCTACATATCACTTTTAAGGAAAATCGGGCTAACCCAGACTTCGGGGGTTTCCAGAAATCTTGACCTATACCAAAAGTGGGCATTGCCCTACTTAGGAGAAGTTTGGTTTCATTGGTGTTTATAATATGTTTGGTAAGAGAGAAAAGTTAACTCTCCTTGTCCTTTACAGAAACAGAACAAGGGGCAAAAACTTTACCTTCGATTTTCTCAAAATAGCATTTTCCGGGATAGCCAGCTTGAGTTAAAAACTACCATATTATAATAACGTACATACATAATATGTCTCTCTCTCTCTCCCTCTCTGTCTCTCTCTGTCTCTCTCTCTGTCTCTGTCTCTGTCTCTGTCTCTGTCTCTGTCTCTCTGTCTCTCTCTGTCTCTCTCTCTCTCTCTCTCTCTCTCTCTCTCTCTCTCTCTCTCTCTCTCTCCCCCCCCCCATATTTCACTTTTTTTCTATGGACGTTGTACGTCTTGGCAACAGCAGAAAGGCGTGGAGCCTGCTGGTGGCTCGAGTACTCTGACATTGAATTAAGCCTACCATGCGTCTCTCTTGATCTTGAGTGACCAGGTATAAGAAAATAGAGGACTTACAGCAAACGTCTGAAAAAAGTCGACATACTTTCATAAATATCACACTTCATGAAACACAACAGAATGGACGAGCGAATTCTTTTCGAGACGCATGTGAAAATGTCTCTGGGCGGTCGTGAGGAAATCTACAAGTTAACACTTAAATGTGGGGGCACACACAGAGAAGGAAAGAGAGAGAGAGAGAGAGAGAGAGAGAGAGAGAGAGAGAGAGAGAGAGAGATGTAGGCTAGGACTAGACTGGCTAAAAATAATTAATTCCAGTAATCCTCTGCATGGGCCGCGATGTGGAAAAAAGAACCTACACAGAGAATAAAAAAAAAAATTACATTACAACGATATTTTAAGGGAAAAAAACAAAAAACAAAATCAAGTACATCTATTGTACTTTTGTTTGGTCGCTGGCCTGCAGAAAAGCCACATAATGTTTATTAGGCATTGGTAACCTTAATAAATGAGCAAGATTTTATTTTAGCGGTCAAAATTAAATTTAAAAAATAGTAATAGTGCCGGTAGAATATATAGAAGAAAGATAACTTGAAAATTGTCTTCTAAAAAGAAAGAATTATTTCCCCTTCAAAATATTTCATTGATCATCACGCACAACCAAAATTATTATGAAGATAGCCTGAATAAAGATATGAATAAATAAGTAAACTGATCTGAATATATGTCAAATGTTCACACGCAAAAAAGGACAATAAAGTGCCACTAGAGTCTGATTGATCACTTGTTTTGAGGTTCCTTCCATTTGTTTTTTCTTTTCCAAAAATAGCGGGAGAAGTTAACTGCTCGAGTCATTGCTTTGTTTGTGAAACAAAACCCAAAGCAGGTATATATAATATAATAATAAACGGGGCAGCGAAAACAAAATAAAAAGAATATTCAACCATAGCATGAATGCACAAAAGTACCCCCTAATCAAGAAAAAACAAATAATATTTAAAAAATATAGGCTAGGCCTATAAAAACCGGTTGAAGCAATGCAGACAACATGAAGGAACCCCTAAGCTATTTATAGACCATTGTTGTAGAGAATAAACATTATTAGAGTTGGCCTATTTCAAATGCTTAGAAGACAAAATTAAGTCTCTGCAGCAGTGTTTTGAAGCAAAGATTCCAATTTTCATAAATTTAACAACAGACCCCCAGTTCTTTGACCAAAACATTCTCTAGATTCCAAATTTGGGACAATTTTGTATCGGGTTACGGTTCGGTCCGGGTTTGTTCAAAAGAGAATGACCCCGATTTGACTGTGGTATTTGACTTATTTTTTTGTTTGGTCTTTAGGATATCTCTCTTCTCTTAATGTAGTCTTTATCTTTACACTTTTTCTGACAAAGTGAACTTGATCTTAAGGTGGGAAGAGTGACTTGATAGTGTTAAATCTATTGAAACGTTGAAAGAACAGAGCGACGCGGACAGCCTCCATCGCGGCCATTTTTGACTGACGGCGAGTGATTGTCGACGAGCTAGCTCTCGTAAAAAGCTTAATATCTACCGACGTTTCGGGTTTTGTGAAAGAATGATAACGTACCACGCAAGCCCACCATTAAAACTTACGTTATTCATAATCAACGGTTGTTTTCTATCAGTGATATATGTGAAATGGTCCAATTTCCACGGTTGTAATTTGACGACGTCGTAAGAAGTGTGCGGCGACACGGTGCAAAACGATATAAAAACAATGTTTCTACAAAATGCAAAGACACAAATTCTCTGAGAACATCAGGAAAAATATGTTTTCTGTCTTGAGAAGCAAAAATAAGAGCGCTGTTCTTCTCGTAAACGCATGCATTTTAATTTCAAAGGATGTTGGTTTGAGAGCGAACTCATGTTTTATCGATAGAAAACTTAGATTTTTGCACCGTACACTACACAATTTGCATAAAGAAGGGTAATAATTTCTTGGTTAACCATTTATCTAGCCTTGAAGGACTATGAAAGAAACATGCAGTTAACTGCATTAAGTTGTAGCTCGGAGATCTACATGTTCTTGCACAGATTCGCACAGCCGAACGAAACAGACGACATCGGCGCAGCAAAAAATACACCGTGACGTAGGTGCTCTCTCGGACGTCCGCGCGAAATGGTCATATAGCAAACGCTCGCCGTGACCTGTCAGTTCAGAATTAGCACTCGTTGGAAGGAGATCACTCTCTCGTTTCATTTTCTGCCCACGTCTTCATTCGCATTATCACCCACAATGTCTGACGCTCCAGCTGCTGCCCCAGCCAAGGCTACCCCAGCCAAGGCTACCCCCAAGAAGAAGGCTCCCGCCAAGCCTAAAGCCCCCGCCGCTCACCCTCAGTACAAGGTGATGGTCGCTGCCGCCATCTCTGCACTGAAGGAGCGCGGTGGCTCTTCCCGCCAGGCCATCCTCAAGTACATCATGGCCAACTACAAGGTCGGTGATAACCCCACTGCCATCAACGCTCGTCTCAAGACTGCCCTCAAGGCCGGCGTCAAGGCTGAAACCCTGAAGCAAGCTAAGGGAACTGGCGCTGCCGGCTCTTTCCGCCTGGGAGAGAAGAAAGTGGAGAAAAAACCCGCCAAAAAAGTTGCCAAGAAACCCAAGTCCCCCAAGAAGGCGGCCAAGCCCAAGAAAGCCGCTGCCAAAAAGCCAAAATCTCCCAAGAAGGCCGCCGCCAAGAAACCTGCCAAAAAAGCTGCTGCCAAGCCCAAGAAGGCCAAGAGCCCAGCCAAGAAGGCCGCCAAGCCCAAAGTTGCTGCCAAAAAGCCAGCGGCCAAGAAGGCTGCTGCCAAGCCCAAGAAGGCTGCTGCCAAGAAGTAAGGAGCTGGTTCCACGTCCCAGTCACCTCACAATACGGTCCTTTTCAGGACCACCCCCATTGATCAAAATGGATTGAATCTTCAATCTGAGTTGAAACCTTTTCTTGATCTCGATGCTGCCCTGAATCTATACATGATCTATCATCTTTATAATTGTATCTACCTTGTCATGCTTTTTTCCCGATGCCTGTTGTTTTTCACACCTCCAGTGACCGACCTCCCTCTTTCTTCCCGAGAGGCAGTTCGATTGTTTAGAAGAATTATAAGTTTCCATGAGTTTGGGGGACCGTTCACATAGTATGACTATTACTTTCTTTTCTAAAATTAAGAGTCGCTTAATTTCGTATTTTTGGGATCAGTGTTTTGCATAATTTCAGAATTTTTCTTGCATAAAACGACGGGGACAGATTGTTGTAGTGAGTGCCGCGTGGTGTGTACTGTACTGTGTACCAGTGTTGTCTCTGTCGGATTATGCGGCCGCGTTTTTTCCACTAAACTGCAACATTTGTATAATTTTGGATTCTCCGTGTTCACGTTTTTAAATTAAATGAAAATTTTCACACACATAATTTATAATGTACATCTCCCAGTGTAACTAAAGGGAAGTAATCACAGTAATAAGTATCATTTAAGTGACAAGTTGGTTATTTCCCTTGTAATGGATTTTTGTTCCTTGAGCATGTTCAATTTTTCAATCCACCAAAATCAGAAGTTGTCATGTCTCTGCTGACGTTCCATGTTTGCCAGGTGTCCCTGTAGTGATGTGCCAGCATCAGAGGTCCAGATGTCTTTTTAAAAACATTTATCTTTTCTCTATACAGCTGAGAATTACAGAGATTATATTTTATTTATTTATTTATTTATTTATTTATT